ACGTACTACAAGTGCTTTGCAATTGTTGGTGAAAGTGTGGCTTTGATTGGTTGGCGAGGTGTTACCGTAGGTTCGAAGTGGGGTGAAGCGAGGGGTGCGAAGCGAAAGTTAGGGTACATTCCTGAAGCGCGTCACAAAGGCTTCGCGTCTCAAACGAAGAGATGCAGTGCGGTGGAAATTTTTTATACTTAGGTGTAATGCGGTGCAGACCGGTACAGCGGTTTTATGACGCGATTGAGATATTTGTGTCGATACAGGAATGTACCCTAAATCGCTGGGGGCAACCGAACCATCTAGGATTGGAAACTTGGTTCGGAGCCAAACCTAAAATGCCCCAAACTCATCGAAAGTCTCAAGTACCCAAAAGTGTTGTGCAATTGCTTTTGGGGCAGTGACGCAAGCTGAGTTTCCAACCCAACCAGAGACAACTTTGCCAGCACTAACTTGGTTACCTAGCTTCAAGTGCTTTGCATTCGATGGCTCCTTAGCTTACATGAGACCCTGGCTTTAATAGCACCAACCTAGTCAAGTTGTGTCAAATTTACGACACAGCAAAAAGTCACTAAAGCACAAAATGGGGTGCGTTCAGGGCTGACGCTATCAGACTAAATAGTCTGATTAGTCTGACCAATCAGAGCATTGAGGTTGTGGAAAATGGATTTGCAGAGTAATCAATATCTCATCCCTGAGGGCCTCAGTGTTATTGTTTGTAGGCCCCTGATATAGTGTAATAGTTCTCAGACTTAGTCGTTTCTGGAGTCTGGCTCTACAGAGTATACGGTATGTGGACCCTGTATGCCGGTGTATTGAAAGGAAGCTTCCCCGAAATGTCCGAAAGTACCCCCCCCCCCCCCCCCCTCATTAAAACTTTCCACGCGTAATCATTTCACCACCCCCCGTGGTTGTCTTCTTGTTCGCATGGCCTCGAAACCACGTAATGTTGACAAAAGCTGTTGGTGCGCTGTGCACAGCAAGGCAGCCAGGTGCGGCGTGCTGCGCAGTTTGATGATGACTCTGCAGCCACGCGAACCGCGCCACCCTCACTCAATGTGATGGGTTGATCGCGATTGGTGGCATGGCTCACTAGCTATGTGTGGTGGCATTGTGGCAGATGAATTTGGCCCCGTCTTCGAGGCCCAATTCATTCATCAAACCCCACCCCACTCCGTGAGCCATTGTCGTGGCGACGCGGCTTTCGTTCCGTCTGCTGCAGCTGGTTCTTTCCAGGCTGAAGGGTCTCCCAGTTTCACCGTTTGCTTTCATTCTCGTAATTTCAGATTCTTGATTCATCGTTCTCTCTCGCCATGGCGTCCTCATCTCCCGCGGAGGACTCCCCTGAGGCCGTCCCGGAAAAGCCTCCTGATCGTAGGGTTAGAGGCCTAGACTTCCTTCGATCAAGCGTAGCTCCAGTCACTCCAGAACCTTTAGTTACCGCTGCTGTTTTTAATAACGAGGAGATCCCGTCGTCCAGCAAGAATCCGCAACCGGCCCCCAATCCCGCGCCTGCTCCAGCGCCGTTCACTCTCCCTCCCGCCATCCCGTCGTCTAGCAAGGGGCCGCAACCACCACCAGCGCCGTTCACTCTCCCTCCCGCCATCCCGTCGTCTAGCAAGGGGCCGCAACCACCTCGCAATCCCGCACCACCACCAGCGCCGTTCACCCTCCCTCCCGCCATCCCATCGTCCAGTACAGCGCCTCCCTCTGCTGTTGGTAGCAGTGGCTGCAATGATGCCGCTCCCGCGTCCGAGGGTCGTACAGCGAAGAAGGCGCGCACTGTCGTACTCCGCGGGAAGTTTCAGCAGAGCACGTTGACCTTCGGCGGTGTGCGCGTGGCACCACCAAGCGCTCCAGAAGACTCCGAGCCCGAACCAGAGGAACCAGAGGAGATACCTGTACGTGCGGACACCAACTCTCCCATCCTGTCCAAGGCTGAGGTAATGGAGCAGAAGTACATAGAGGCGAGTGTTAAGTATAAAACCCAGTGGTTGCCCAAATTCCCGTGGCTGCTTTTGGTTCGCGCTAAAGACGGTGGTCCCAGTGTGAAGTGCAGCCTGTGTCTCTCGTTCGGCAAGGAGACAACCAAGTACTCAGGTCCAGGCGACGGCGGGCGAGACCTGCAGACTCAGACGATGCGCATCCACGAGCACACGTCGGTCCACAAGGAGGCGATGCAGCGTCAGGCAGAGATTGCGGAGGCGATTTCGAACGGGCAGACGAAAATCGATCGTTTCATCAACGCTGACGTTGAGGGAAGGCGGGCTATTCGGCTGATGAGGTCGGTGCAGTTTCTCTGCCAGGAGGACGCGCCCATCAGCATGTTCCCGAAGCTCATGAGGCATCTCGCTGAACAGGACACCCCCGACATACCGAAGCAGGCCTACGGGGTGTACCTCACGAGGTGCGTTTGTATGGTTTCTAATTTAGGTAACGTTTGCTTACTGTCTTTCAAAGCTAACGTCTCGATTCTTCGTAACCATTGCAGATACGGTTTCCAATCCATGGTGCACTGCCTGAGCACCTGGTTGACTCAGACGCAGATGGAGCACATCGCCTCGTCGCCCTTCCTCGGCTTGAGCACAGACGAGAGCACCGACCGGACCCGCGGGAAGCACATGATTGTGTACATCACGTTCTTGCGCAACCGTCGAGTCGTTACTGAGTATCTCACCCTTCTTACTGTCGAGCGGTGTGATGCAGCTTCTCTCTTGTCGGTGCTCCTCAACCACCTACACACCGCCAGCATTGACATCAACCGAGTGGTGGGCATCAGCACCGACGGTGCGTCTGTAATGATTGGATGTGACAACGGCCTCGTCACAAGACTGCGGGAGCATGTGCCGCATCTCGTGTCAACACACTGCATCGCCCACAGGTGATATAATCTTTTACCGCACCTACATCTTGCTTTTTGTACAGCGCCTCACGAAGACCCCGACGGATACTAATCATTGGCTGGATGTACAGGGAGGCATTGGCGGTGAAGGACGCGGCCACGGCTAATCCCGACCTCGCGATGGTGGACACCGTGGTGCGCACTCTTGCTGAACGCCTTGGCGCCTCATGCCACTGGAGCCAGCGCTTCAAGTACCTTCAGCGCGTCATATACAACACAAACCTCGAGGTCCAAGGCATACACAGCGTGCGCTGGCTCTCCCGGGGCGACGCGGTGAAGCGTCTGTGCAAGGTGCTGGGTGCGGCGATTGTGCTCTTCCACGAGAAGGAGCACGACTTGTACGAGACGGTGACGTCGTACAAGTTTCAGTTCTGCCTCTTCTTCCTCGCTGACATCCTCGGCGATCTGAATGATCTCAACCGTTCGTTTCAGAAGCGGCAGGTGAGTTTGCGTTTTGTGGGTGGCTATGTTTGTTGTTTCATCGTGTCCTAATTCCCTAGTTGTTGTGGACAGGTCGACGTTACAGAGGTCTCAAAGACCGTGGAGTCCATCACTGGCGACCTCGAGCACAGGTACCTGGACAAGAAGGCGGACTTCGGTGGTTCCGGCAACGGATGGCTGCCGAAATTCCTGTCGCTGTATGGCAAGAAGTCGGGTCAGACGGTCCGAGTGCGTGGCTCGGATTCGGAGGGCCGCCCTGTGAACCACTCGTACATCCTGCACGAGAGGAAGCTCAAGGACCATGAGTACAAGAGCGGCTACAAGGCGTGCGTGAAGCTGTGCCGCAAGTTCGCGACGGACGTCGTCGATCGTCTCCTGTTTCGCCTAGACGACCTGCGGGGGATGGGTCCAACGAAGCTATTTCGCGCGTCTCAATGGCCCAAGAGCAAGCACGCACGAGACCGCAAGTGCCACGACTGGCTGACTGGCTGCGCCGCTCTGTTCAAGAACAAGCTGCCGGGGTTTGATCACAAGAAAGCGTCGCAGGAGCTGGCAACCTGGTGCCCAATCATGGAGTCTCACCACGAGGACGAGTCATTCGCGCAGGGACTGGCGAACTTCATGGGGAGCGGCGACGCCAAGAGGTAAGTCCACCTAGTCTGTGTGTGCCACATGCATGTCTCAAATCTAACGCTTCGGGAAACCTGATGCTCCTTGTTTTGTGCAGACGCTGGCCCAACCTATTGCTGATGTGGCAGGCGTTGGCAGTCCTGCCACTCTCCACTGTGGAGTGCGAGCGGGGGTTCTCGCGTCAGAACGTGATCAAGTCGTGGATCCGTGGGTCTCTCTGCAACGCGCGGCTCGCGGAGCTGATGCAGATCTCGCTGCTGCAGTACGAGATGGACTGGCCTGGGGTGCTCGACACCTGGAAAAGCCTCAAGAAGAGGCGCCCTGCGCAGAGCGTTCTGTTCCCTTCTGACGATCGCAAGCGAAAGGAGAAGGAACTGGAGGAGGTAGAGGAGGAACCCAGGGAGCCGGCGAGCGAGGAGCTCGCGGAGTCAGACGATGATCGTGACGACAACCCGGAGATGGATCAGGAGATAGAGCAGTCACCGCCCCGAGATTACTTAGAGGAAGATGATAACCCGTTCCTCTCGGATGGCGAGGAGGGGGACGAGATGTATGACATAGATCAGCCGACAAAGTAGGATTCTTGGTGCTGTCTTGTGTGAACCCTTAACCCGGCCGGGCATTGTTGACAGTGCTTGTGTAATAATTAACAAATGATAGAAACAGCACTCTGATCATAGTTCGCCAACCCTGTGACCACAGGGAAAGGGTTTCCTGGAGACTGAGCCATCAGAGTGGCCAAAATCTGGCCGAAGTGCCCTCAGAGTAAATTTTTTTTTTTTTTTGCACCATCAGTGTACCCAAATTTGAAACGTCAGCCCTGGGTGCGTTCATGACTGAAAGCCTCAGAACAATAGACTGGACACGAAGTTAGTACCGTACAACATTAATTAGTGAGACACACCACATCACACGCCATACATGCCACCTATCGTGCTAGTTAGGTACATAATAAACATTTACTGCATTAAACAAGTCAACCGTGAGTCTCTACAACCAAACCACATCCCTAACACTGCAAGCAATGCACTAGTTCTCACATCTGTGGCCGTGTTTGCACCACGTACAACTTCCCATCCTTGATAACACCCTCAATATCTTGTGCCGAGCCCAGCAGCTGCTCTATAGCCTCGCCAGCGGATGCGATCTTAGAGAGGATGGAGTGTTGAAACGCGGAGTCCACCACAAGAGGGTCGGATGAATAGTCCACCACCCTCTCCTCTTCCTCATCCATTGGAACACTGAGGAAAAAAAATTCGGGAAAGAAAAAGGTACACGGCGTATTGGGATGGGTTCGGTCAGTCTTAGTGTCTCACATGGAAGAAACAAAGTTTGAGAGGTGGAGATAAAGATGGAGGAAATGATGTTGGAACCTGCTCTATAGGCTTCCCCGCTCACACTTCTTTAGAAATACCAGCAACTTTATTCCCATTGTAAGCTTCCTCACCCACCTGTCATACAGCCCTGCATATCCCTCGCCCCCCCCCCCCCCGTCGGAGTCGGAACGGAAGATGATGGACGAGCAGAGCGGATGAATAGGCAGCTAGTCCCAGGGGTTTGGAACGAGCAGCTAATTTATCCCCAGTGTAGGCCCAAGGCATCTGTGAGAGAACACTACTTTACTTCCTTCATATGCTTCCCTGCTCACCTGTCATACAGCCCTGCCCCGGCGTATCCCTCAAGGTCCTCCCCGTTGGAGTCGGATCGGAAGATGATGGACGAGCGGATGAAGAGGCCCACTCGCTTGGAGGGGAAGCCAAGCACCTGCAGAGAGTGAGGTGGGATTGGGTTGGGATTGGGTTGGGATGGGGGCGAGATAACAAATTTGGAGGGGAAGACAAGCACCTGCAGAGAGAGAGGGATGGGATGGAGGTGGGGTTTGGGGTGGGATGTGGGTGGGATGGGGGTGGGATGTGGGTGGGATGGGGGTTGGGATGTGGGTGGGATGGGGGTTGGGATTGGGTGAGATGTTTTATTTTGCGACGTTTCGAAGCCGGAAGATGATTGACGGGCGGATGAAGAGGGCCACTCGCTTGGAGGGGAAACCAGTGACTTGAGGAGAAGCGAGAGAGGGAAGAGACCGGGATAATGAAGGGCGCGCAGGAGCAAAAGGTCTTCATTCTAGTTATCTTATAAAAACAGCCAGCTGAAACCAGCTTACCAAACTACCTGCAACCAAAGATCATGCACACAATGTCTCTGCACCGAAGATCTGCCTGTGCCGAGCTTCAGACATAATTCTCAGGGAGCAGCAGTAGCGAAGCTAGGCTTAAAGCAAAAGAACAAACAGCTAGTATTGTACTCGCTGTGTAAGACTAAGTAGCTTTTGAGTCGACTCAAAATTTTATCGTTCATGCACACAATGTCTCTGCACCAAAGGTCAGCCTGTGCCGAGCAGCGCCACCCAGAAGCGTCTCCCCCCAGCCCCTCTACCCACGCACTTCCCCCCCCCTCTCCCACACCACCGCCATCACTCCTGCCGGTCTCGCCACCCGCCTTGGGTCAGTCGATGTGGCCTTTATCAGCTCTGAAGCTCAGCGCACGCCCAGCAAGACCGTTGTCCGTCCCGTTCCTTCACCACCGCTCCCCATCCACCTCTGATTCCCCGCTTTCCCTGTTTCCCCCCTCAAACAGCGCCCTACACCATCTCCACTCACCTTGGGTCGGTCGGTGTGCCCCTTATCAGCACTGAAGCTCAGTGCGCGCCCAGCAAAGACAGCCCTGAAGCTCCAAAGCTCAGACCCCACTGCACCACTCCTCACCTTGGGCCGGTCGGTGTGGCCCTTATCAGCACTGAAGCTCAGCGCGCGCCCAGCAAAGGCACCCACGAGCGTCTCCCCCAGGCCCTTCACCACCTCTGCGTAGATCTGGTTCTTATCGCCCGTGGAGGGATTCTCAGTGTGCACCACAAAGGCATAGTCCGCCCGCACGATCTCCTGTTGGTGGAGACAAGGGGGAGGAGACAAGCGGGAGAAAATCATTGGAAGGAGACAAAACGAGCGTCTCTCCCAGCCCCTTGACCACCTCTGCGTAGATCTGGCTCTTATCGCCCATGGAGGGATTTTCTGTGTGCACCACAAAGGCGTAATCAGCCCGCACGATCTCCTGTGGGAGGGAGGGAGACAAACGATTAACACAAAGTGAGGCATAGAGAGAGGCTGGTGATGAGCCCCTTCACCACCTCCGCATAGATCTGGTTCTTATCGCCCGTGGAGGGGTTTTCTGTGTGCACCACGAAGGCATAGTCCGCCCAGCCGGACTATCTCCTGTTGGTGGAAGACACGGGGGGAGGCGATTAGGGGGAACGGCGATCAGAAAAAAGAGGCTAACACCAAGTCTCCCACAGCCCTTTCACCACCTCTGCATAGATCGTGCTGTGTATCACAAACGCATAGTCCGCCCTCACTATCTCCTGTTGGTGGGAAAAGGGATGGGGAGGAGGTCAGGAGGGAGGAGGTAAAAGGGGAGGAGGTGAGGGGAGAGGAGAGGAGGAAAACGGGAGGAAGTGAGGGGGGAGGAGTTGATGGAAGGGGGGGTTGAGGAGGGAGAAGACAAAGGGGGAAGGTGGTGAAGGGGGAGGAGGCGAGGGGGGAGGAGGTAAGGGGGGAGGAGGTAAGGGGGGAGTAGGCAAGGGGGGAGGAGCTAAGTGGATAGGTAAACATCACCCCCCCCCCACTCACCTGCACGAGCACTGCCATGGAGAGCGAGTTGAAGTCGAGCCGTGCCTTGCGCATGCTCACATACGCCCGCTCGTTCCACTTGGACGCCCACACCCGAGTGATCGCCCCCCACGCCTTCTCCCACCGCCCCTCGCCCTCATCCCCCGGCCATGGCATGTTGGACCTCTTCATCGCCTCCTTGAGATCAGATACCTGGGGAACGCTCGAGGGAGAGACGAGAGTCATTGGGCGAGAACGACAACGGGCGTGGGCACATGGAATGCGATAGTGCACCGCGAACCCATGCATACACCTTCACGCCCCCTCTGCCTAAACAGCTGCGGCGGCCACAAACCATCCCATATCCCATCCAATCTCACCCCAACCCATCCCATGTCCCATCGCATCCCATCCCATTCCATTCCATCCCATCCCATCCCATCCCATCCCATTCCATCCCATCCCATCCCATCCCATCCCATCCCATCCCACCCCACCCCATCCCATCCCATCCCATCCCATCCCATCCCATCCCATCCCATCCCATCCCATCCCATCCCATCCCATCCCATCCCATCCCATCCCATCCCATCCACATCCCATCCCATCCCATCCCATCCCACTCCACCCCATCCCATCCCAACCCATCCCACCCCATCCCACCCCACCCCACCCCACCCCACCCCACCCCATCCCATCCCACCCCATCACATCACATCCCATCCCATCCCATCCCATCCCGCTCCTGCTCCTGCTCTCTCACCAGCTGAGGCGGTGCCTTTAGTCCCAGCAAGGCGCGGCGGATATTGGGCAGCATGCCATCCACCCACCATGCATTGGCCCCAACCCTCCCACCCCCACATGCTCCATTCTCCCCTTCCCATAATTACCAGCTGTGGCGGTGCCTTGAGTCCCAGCACGGCGCGGCGGATGTTGGGCAACATGCTCACATCGCCCTTCTCCAGGTCTGTGCTCAGAGCCTTGATTTCCGCTGCTACGCTCTGAAAGTTGGGAAGCCGTGGGGTGGAGTGGGGTACGGTGGGGTGCGGTGGGAAGGTCAAACAGGGGTTGGGATGGAGTGACGATGATGGGCAGCAAGCTCACGTCGCCCCTCTCTAGGTCCGCACTCAGAGCCTTGATCTCCGCAGCGACACTCTGGAATGTGGGATGCGGTTGGGCAGGGTGGAGTGGGGTGAAGTGACGTGCGGTAGGATGAGGTGGGGTGGAGTGACGTGAGGTTGGCCATTGTGGTGCAGGGTGAGGTGAGGTGCGAGGCAGAATTTGCAAGAGCAGGTTCGCACTCTGAGCCATGTTCTAAAAGGTGGGGTGTAGTGAGGTGCGGTGGGGTGAGATGCGGTGGGACGTTTACTCTGTGCTTGGGGGATGTAGAGGGCGGTAACAGCTTTTGAGCCGAAGGGCAGATCCAAAGACGTGGGCAGGTGGATCCGTGAAGGCAGGATGACCCACTTCACACGGACATTTACAGATTTGAATTTACAGTGCACATCACTGCAGCACATGCCTGGTTGATTGGGTCAGCGAGAGCGCTCTCGAATGAGCCAAAGGGCAGAGCCACAGACGTGGGCAGGTGGATCCACGAGGGCAGCTTGCCCTGCAGCCCGGCTATGTTGCGCGACTTGGCCCCCACCTGGCGGGGGGGGAGGGAAGGTGGGAAGGAGGGCAGAGGCTCTTGTGCACAGGAAGGGCAAAGAGTGGGCGGGAGGGCGGTGGCTCCACGAGGGCAGCTTGCCCTGCAGCCCCGCTATGTTGCGCGGCTTGGCTCCCACCTGGTGGGGGGGAGGGGAAGAGAGGAGAACCGGGGGATAAAGAGGCGGGGCAGCAGGTGAGGAAGCAAAGAGGGCAGATTGCGCGACTTGGACCCACCTGGTGGGGGGGAGGGGGAATAAGGAGGGCAGGAGGGAAGGACAATGGTGAGGCGGGGCAGCAGGTGAGGAAGCAAAGAGGGTAGCTTGCCGTGCAGCCCCCCTATGTTGCGCGACTTGGCCCCCACCTGAGAAGGAAAAGGAGGAGGGGATCAGTAGGGGAAGGAAGGAGGGGGAATGAGAAAGTGGAGAGGTGTCTTAAAGGCTCGCAGCCAGCCTGCTATGTTGTGGCCCTGCCAGGCCAGCGATTCACAGGTGCGAGCAGTTCGGTGCAGTGCGGTGCATAAACGGAGCATACTACTGCAGTGCGGTGCGTACCAGTTCAGGTGTGAACTCGTTCGAGGTGACGGCGTATCGCCCGGCGAACTGCTTCCTCTTGATATGCAGCCCGGGAGGTGGCCCTGCCCTGGTGCCTAGTGCTGTGCAATGCGGTGCAGTGCGGTGCTGTGCGGTGCGTACCAGTTCAGGTGTGAATTCGTTCGAGGTGACGGCATACCGCCCTGCAAACTGCTTCCTCTTGATATGCAGCCCGGGAGGCGGCCCTGCCAGGTCAGCTGCTGCTCCATCTCCCCCTGACACCAGCTTTGGGTCGATTTCACTGCAGGGAGAAGACAGGCAGAAGCGGTGTGGAATCAGGTCAGGCAAGGAGGAGGACAGGTCAGGAGGGGTGAGACAGTGCGGCCATTCAGTCCACTGCTGCCCCGTCTCCCCCTGCCACCAGCTTTCACAGCAGCGGGTTGAAAGGAGGTCAGGAGGGGTGGAGGCGGGTAAGGAGTGGTGGAGGCAGGTCAGGAAAGGCAGAGGGGTATGGGAGGGCAGTAAGCCGCCTGCTGTTCCTGTCCCTGCTCTCCAACCAGCTGTCAGGAGACTCGAGGAGTTTCATCCGTGCGGAGTGCATGTGTGCATGTATCAGTGTGAAAGGCTCTTGAGCTCCAATGTCCGTCCATGCAGGTGTTTGTTCAGGTGCTTGTATAGGAGGGAGTGTGCACATGCGGATACATCCAACCACTTTCACCAGCCCACACCCACCTGGCAACCTGACAACGCACCTGACAATGACTTCGGATCCAGAGGTGTTGGGAGCACAGCGGGCGCTCTTCCCCTGCAGCGCTCTGATGGAGTCCAGCAGGTTGGGGTCGAAGCAGGTCGCAAAGCACACCTGGGATGGGAAGGAGAGAGGGCGGGGAGGGGGGGAGAGGGGGGGTAGCAGCATATCGAATAAAGGGCATGTTGCACTGGGCAGGGCGGGATGAGGGTGCAGCACAGTGGGGCTCTTCCCCTGCAGCGCTCTGATCGAGTCCCGCAGGTTGGGGTCGAAGCAGGTCGCAAAGCACACCTGGGGGGGAGGATGGGGAGTCGGAGGAAGAAGGAATAAGGGGAGTAAGGAGATGTGGGAGAGCAAATCAGGCATGTCAAGTGTCAACAGAGCCACCACCCCTGCAGGAATTTCCTTCTCTCCCTTCACCCTCCGTGCCACCAGCACTGTCGGCTGCAGCCAGAACAGTTAGAGAACCCCAGGGAACCGCACAGCACCACACAGCACAGGACATCACCACAGATCTTCTTAACTTACCTTGCAATTTCTTGCTCCCACAGACGCGTGGGAGAGCACATCAGGCATGTCAGGGGTCAGCAGCGCCACCACTCCAGCCGGAAAACCAACAGTGATAGAGAACACCAGAGAACTCCAAAGAATCGCACATCACCGCATCGCACACCTTGCAGTTCCAGGCTCGCACGGACACATGGGAGAGCACGTTGTGCATGTTGGGTGTCAGCAGCTCCACAACCCCTGCAGGGATCTCCTCCTCTCCCTTCACACCCCGTGCCACCATCACTGTCAGCACCAGCCAGTAGAGGTAATGAACCCCAGGGAACCGCACAGCACCGCACATCACCGCACAGAATTGTTACGCACCTTGCAGTTACGTGCTCGCACGGACACGTGGGAGAGCACGTCGGGCATGTCAGGGGTGAGCAGCGCCACAACCCCTGCAGGAATCTCCTCCTCTCCCTTCACCCTCCGCGCCACCATCACTGTCGGCCGATCGTACGTTTTCTCCTGCACCTCTGCTAGCTCATCAACCACCTCCACCCACCCACGCACATCCGCAGGGCTGATCACTTGCCAGCTGCATAGAGAATGGGTATGCAGGGAGGGAGGGAGGGAGGGCCAGTTTTAGCTGTACGTCTTCTCCTGCACCTCTGCTAGCTCATCCACCACCTCCACCCACCCACGCACATCCGCAGGGCTGATCACTTGCCAGCTGGTAAAGGGAATGAGGGACAAGACGGGGGGGGAGAGGAGGGGGGGAGGATTTTATACATACATGAGTAGAGGCCTGTACATCTGCTATTTCGTCCACCACCTGCTAGCTCCCTCCCCCTCAATTGCCCAGGTCAGCAGCCTGTCGGATCTGCGGGTTGAGCCGGTTCAACAGCTGGGACAGAGCCCGCAGCCGACTCAGCGCGAATGACCTCCTCTGTGAAGATGTCAATCGCCCACTGCTCCACATGCACCTTGCCTCCCAGATGCACCACTGCAGGTAGAAACAAAGCCAGCTGCCGTCCCTCCTTCTCGCCATCCCCACTCCATCTCACACACACAGACACAGCCGCACTGTCTTTCTCACCTGCCCAGGTCAGCAGCCTGTCGAATCTGCGGGTCCAGCCGGTTGAGCAGCTGCGAGAGCGCAGCAGCAGAGCCAGCGCGAATGACCTCCTCTGTGAAGATGTCAATCGCCCACTGCTCCACATGCACCCTCGAACCCAGATGCACCGCGGCCGGCTGAAATAGCGCCAGCTGCTGCTCCGCCTTGCCCTGCAAGATGAGCCGCGTGCGGTCGAGCACTGCCTTGGCCCGCAGCGCCCACTGGCTGTCGTGATTCATTGAATCCAGCACGCGCCGCCACTCCTGGTTGGTGGTGGAGGGGTGGAGGGGAAGGGCAGGAGGGGTAGGGAACGGGTGAGAGAGATCAGGGCACACAGATGCATCGCGGCCGGCGGGAACAAGGCCAGCTGCTGCTCCGCCTTGCCCTGCAGGATGAGCCACGTGCGGTCCAGCACCGCCTTGGGTCTCAGCCCCCACTGGGCGTCCTGGTTCATTGAATCCAGCACGCGCTGCCACTCCTGGGGAATGAAAGCGAGAGGGGGGCGGGTGGGAAGAAATGGGGTGGAGGGATAGGGCAGGAGGGGTGGAGTGGGTGAGTGAGAGCACAGCACACAGATACATGGTGGCTGGCTGGAACAGTGCCAGCTGCTGCTCCGCTTTGCCCTGCAGGATCAGCCGCGTGCGGTGTAGCAGTGCCTTGGCCCTCAGCGCCCATTGGCAGTCGTGATTCATTGAATCCAACACGCGCCGCCACTCCTGGTTGGTGGTGGGGAGGAGGGAAACAACGGAAGGGGTAGACAAATAATACTTTCACCCAGCAGCACGGTTCACTGACACAAATAACGTTCGTTGCTTCTGCTGTGTGTCGTTTGTTACAAAGACCCACAGCAGAAATCAAATCGCTCAGACACCCATGACTGAGAACGCGCTGCATATCGTCAATAATAAGAAGACACTCTTCATTAATTTTATCCTCGCTATAAGGAAACAATTCCCCACCTTGAGGCAGAATACAAGCTCTTCGTTGTCGTCCACGGACAGGCAGAGATTCTCCACCAGCAGCGTCACCAGATACATGATACCACAGGCCAAGACTCATACTCATTTATCCTCGTTATAAGGAGAGGAGGTCCCACCTTGAGGCAGAAGACTAGCTCCTCGTTGTCGTCAATGGACAGGCAGAGATTCTCCACCAGCAGCGTCACCAGATACATGATTTCCTGGGTGTATGAGATGGTGGTGTGGGTATGGTTGGGTGTGTGGGTGGGTAGATTGAGAAAGTGACACAGTTGAGTAAAGGTGACTACATGAATGGGGGAATAGATACATGTATGGGGGAATAGATACATGTATGGGGGAATAGATACATGTATGGGTGGGTGGGTGGGTGGGTGGGTGGATGTGGCAGGGGATGGTGGACAGAAGAGAGGGGCACATGGGTATGACAGGCAGAGGTTCTCCACCAGCAGCGTCAGCAGGTACATGATCTCCTCTGGTGATGAGATGGGTGGGTAGAGAGATGGACAAATGGGTGGATGGGTGAGGGACAAGACGACTACCAGGTCAACTCAGAGGTTCCTCACCACCAGCGATACCCGAATCCCACCGCATACTACTGCATTCCACAGCTGCACGTACCCCGGCGTTCCTAGCGTCGCCCATGCCCCTCTCAATGGCAGTGCGAGCAGTGGAGTCCAGAGCCAGGTCGAGGAACACCAAGTCCTTGAGGCGCTCCCACACCCACACACTCCCAGCACATTCCACCACACTCCACCGCACTCCACCGCATTTCACCCCATGCCACCCCAGTTCACCCCACCCCATCGCACTGTACACACCACTCTGCATGCACTCACCCCGGCATTCCTGGCATCCCCCATGCCCCTCTCGATGGCGGTGCGGGCAGTGGAGTCCAGCGCGAGGTCGAGGAACACGAGGTCCTTGAGGCGCTCCTGCCCGTGCCTCAGCAGGGTCGGCCGCAGCTCTCTTCGGGCTTCCACCAGACCCTGTGGTTTTGTTGAAGGGGTGGGGTTGAAAGAGGAGGAAGGGGGAATTCGGTTTAGCAGCCTGAGTGCAGTCAAGTCCAGCGCCAGGTCGAGGAACACGAGGTCCTTGAGGCGCTCCTGCCCGTGCCTTAACACGTCGGTCGCAGTTCCCTTCGTGCCTCCACCAGACCCTGATTCAAGGGAAAAGGGATGGGGATGGGGAGGGGGAGGGGGAGGGGGAGGGGGAGGGGGAAGGAGAGGGGGAGGAGGAGGGGGAGGGGGAGGGGGAGGGGGAGGGGGAAGGAGAGGGGGAGGAGGAGGGGGAAGGGGAGGGGGAGGGGGAGGGGATGGGGAGGAGGAGGGGGAGGGGGAGGGGGAGGGGGAGGGGAGGGGGAGGGGGAGGGGGAGGGGGAGGGGGAGGGGGAGGGGGAGGGAGAGGAGGAGGGGGAGGGGGAGGGGGAGGGGGAGGGGAGGGGGAGGGGGAGGGGGAGGGGGAGAGGTAGGAGGGAAGGGAGAAGTGGATTGCAGGGAGAAGCTGATGACACTTACTGACCACCTGCTGCTGATCCTCTACATTCTCCAACACAAACCACAGCAGGTTCTGCCGCATTTAATTGCGTTGACTCCATTTGACCCCTGTGGACTCTGTCCTGCATTGACTCTGTCTGACCCCCGTTGACTCTGTTTGACCTGCGTTGACTCACCTCCACCAGGCTGACCACCTGCCGGTCCTCCACATGCTCCAACACAAATTGAAGCAGATTCTGCAGTCAGGAAGAGAGGGGGGTGCGGAAGAGGAAGATGTGGGGTGAGAGGGGTAGAAAAGGCGAGCAAGGGGGGAGACAAGGGGGATTGCAGGCACCGCAAAGAACTCCACTCTAGGCAGAAGATTGTCTGCAGACTGTTCACCCTTCAGTGAAGCACAAATCTCCAGGTGTGGCCCATGTTTGCAGGCTGATACGGACATATAGGCAGGCAGAACTATACAAACTCTGAAACACCGGGCTGAGCTCAAAGTAAAAATGGGAAGCAACAAATAACACACAACAATCTGAGCGCCTGTTATATGTCTGAGCTCACCGGAAGGTTCCCAGAAAGTCCGCTGATGGGATGGATCTCAATGTTCTTCATGAAATCAGCCTGCTCACACATACATGCACACACACACATGCATGCATGCACACGCACACACACATATGCATGCATGCACACGCACACACACACATGCATGCATGCACACGCACACACACACATGCATGCATGCACACGCACATATGCAATGCATGCACACGCGTGCACACACACGCACACGCACATGAAGGAAACACACATGGTTAACCACAAAGGATTTCCTTGAGATTAGTAATGCATAGAGTACAGCATGCATAGTGCAGCAGCAAAGTATCAGCATAAGAGCTCATTCAGACATATTTATGACTTCTCAAGTCCAATTAAACATCAGACATGTGGCCCACACATGAAATTACGCTGCTTCACTGCAAATGGGAACCAGATCTTACCTTAGCGCCCTGCTTGTACCCCATGCACGTGGCAATGGCAGACTCCAGATCAGCTCCCGAATGGACGGCCTGGATCGGTTCACAGAGGGACAGACAAGCGGAGAGCGGGCAGATGCTGAGAGACGGACCACACAGCACGATCAAGGACTTTTGAGGCGCCTCAAAAGGCGATCAAGGTATCTAAGCGTGTACCAGATTGGTGGCATGTGCCACGCGTGCCGCTTTGTACCTTGGGCCGTGTTGTGTTTCATTGTTAATGAGTCTGCTTTTGAGTCGACTCAAAATCACACGTGCTACTTTGTACCTTGAGCCGTGTTGTGTTTCATTGTTAATGAACTTGCAACATTCGCACCTTGAGCGATTTCATGTAGTGCCCCGGGTCCCTCGGCAGCCCCTCATTCTGTCTCGTGACAAATGGTTCCTTACCTTCTTTCAGCCTGGTAAGTGTGACGTACCCTGAGCCATTTCGCACGTACCAGACATATTTACTACTCACTTTTCGAGATTTCATGTAGTGCGCCAGGTCCCGCAGCAGCCCCTCCTTCTGGCTTTGACAGGCCTATCCCTAACTTTAGTGCGCACCTTGAGCCTTGATGTATCATTCATACCTTGAGAGATTTCAAGTAGTGCGCCAGGTCCCGCAGCAGCCCCTCCTTCTGGCTGGCCACAAAGCGCGGCTCGGAGCAGATGGGGCGGTCGTAGGAGAGCAGAGCAGGGCAGGCACAGGAGCACCTTGAGCCTTGATGTATCATTCATACCTTCAGTGACTTCATGTAGTGCGCCAGGTCCCGCAGAAGCCCCTCCTTCTGGCTGGCCACAAAGCGCGGCTCAGAGCAGATGGGGCGGTCGTAGGACAGCAGGCGCTCGTGCGTCACCCCGTTGCTGTTGAGCGTCCGCCAGTACACGTCGATGTTGAAGTCGCTGTTGAGATAGTCGATTAGAGCCTGGAGGAGGGTGGTGTGTGGAGAGAGTATGTGTATGTGTATGTAAGGGAGTAAAGGCTGTTGAGCGTCCGCCAGTACGCATCAATGTTGAAGTCGCTGTTGAGATAGTCGATTAGAGCCTGTAAATGAAGAGGAGAGGGGGTTGGGATGGGATCGTATGTGCATGTATGTGTGTGTACGGGGGTAAAGGCTCGTTGAGCATCCGGCAGTACACATCAATGTTTAATCGCTGTTCAGATAGTCTATCAGGGCCTGATGGGAGGAGGGTTGATTGGGAGAGGAAGAGTGGAAAGGAAGGAGAGGGAGGAAGAGGAGTTGGGAGGGGAGGAAGGAAGATGGAGAGTGGCAGGATGTGATGCCACTCCTCCATCTTACCTCCCTCGCAGTGATTCTTGCTCTGAATCACAAGGATCTCGTCCCAACCCCTCAGGGTTCAAAGCCTCAGGGTTCTAGCTGGTAACCTGGGTCCCGGCAGTCTACACTGCAGGGTGGACCCTGCAGGGTGCTGTTGTTGCTGGCAACCTGGGTGCAGGCAGTCTACACTGCAGGGTGCTATTGGCTTTAACCTCCTACCTGGCAGATAACCATGTCGTCAGGGCTCGTGTTGTTGTGAAGCTTCTGATGCCACTCCTCCATCATGCCGCCCTTGCAGCGGTTCTTGCTCTGAATCACCCAGAACTTGCTACCCCAGGCATTACACGGAGCTGGGCTCAGATGCTGACCTGGCAGATGACCACGTCATCAGGGCTTGTGTTGTTGTGCAGCTTCTGATGCCACTCCTCCATCATGCCGCCCTTGCAGCGGTTCTTGCTCTGAATCACCCAGAACTTGCTACCCCAGGCATTACACGGAGCTGGGCTCAGATGCTGACCTGGCAGATGACCACGTCATCAGGGCTTGTGTTGTTGTGAAGCTTCTGATGCCACTCCTCCATCATGCCGCCCTTGCAGCGGTTCTTGCTCTGAATCACCCAGAACTTGCTACCCCAGGCATTACACGGAGCTGGGCTCAGATGCTGACCTGGCAGATGACCACGTCATCAGGGCTTGTGTTGTTGTGAAGCTTCTGATGCCACTCCTCCATCATGCCGCCCTTGCAGTGGTTCTTGCTCTGAATCACCAGAATCTCGTCTCTGATCCGCTGCCCCACGTCCCCCTGCCCGCCACGCCCCACGGTCATCATGATCATGCGCGTCAGCTCACGAAGGGACGGTGAGGATCGAAAGATCTCCTCCAGCACTGTTGTGAAACGGTCCTGAGCCACGCTGATTTCACTGGAGGGTGGAACCGGAAGGCAGGAGTGGAAGTGGGGAAGGGGGGAGGAGGTTGACAGGGGAATGAGGGACAGGGGAGGGGATTGAGAAGAGAAGGGGGGAATCTCGCCTCTGATTCGTTGCCCCATGTCGCCCTGCCCCCCGCACCCCACGGTCATCATGATCATGCGCGTCAGATCGTGAAGCGACGGTGAGGATCGAAAGATCTCCTCCAGCACTGTTGTGAAGCGATCCTGAGCCACGCTGATTTCACTGTGGGTGGGAGAGGAAGGGGCAGGGTGTGGCCGTGGGTGTGGAGGAGGGAGAGGTTGATTTAGAGGGTTTACGGATGGGAGGGAGGGGGGAATGGGGGAGGGTTGTGGGAAGCGGATCCGCTGCCCCACGTCCCCCTGCCCGCCGCGCCCCACGGTCATCATGATCATGTGCGTCAGCTCGCGAAGCGAAGGTGAGGATCGAAAGATCTCCTCCAGCACTGTTGTGAAGCGATCCTGAGCCACGCTGATTTCACTGGAGGGTGGAACCGGAAGGCAGGAGTGGAAGTGGGGAAGGGGGGAGGAGGTTGACAGGGGAATGAGGGACAGGGGAGGGGATTGAGAAGAGAAGGGGGGAATCTCGCCTCTGATTCGTTGCCCCATGTCGCCCTGCCCCCCGCACCCCACGGTCATCATGATCATGCGCGTCAGATCGTGAAGCGACGGTGAGGATCGAAAGATCTCTTCCAGCACTGTTGTGAACCAATCCTGAGCCACACTGATCTCCCTGTGAGGGGGATTGACAGGGGGGAAAGGGATTGGGAATGGCAAGAAAAAGGACGGTGAGGATTGAAAGATCTCCAGCACTGTTGTGAAGCGATCCTGAGCCACACTGATTTCACTGGAGGGTGGGAGAGGAAAGGCGAGTGGGTGGGGGGGACGTGGGGGGTGAGTGGCCTGGCCAGGAGGGACAGGGAAGGGTGGGGGGGTGTGGGGAGGGGGGGAGGGGGGGGTGGACAAAAAGTACTGCTGAGCCACGCTGATCTCCCTGTGGGTGGAAGGGGACAAGGGGGCGGAAGGGGAGGTTGGAAGTTGGGATCATGTGCGTCAGTTCGCGCATGCATACACTCACATACACTCCACTCCCACTCACATGCATACTCACATACACTCCACTCCCACTCACATGCATACTCACATACACTCCACTCCCACTCACATGCATACTCACATACACTCCACTCCCACTCACATGCATACTCACATACACTCCACTCACACTCACATGCATACTCACATACACTCCACTCACACTCACATGCATACTCACATACACTCCACTCACACTCACATGCATACTCACATACACTCCACTCACACTCACATGCATACTCACATACACTCCACTCCCACTCACATGCATACACACACTCTCCCACTCACCGCGGCTTGACGTTGTAGTTCTTATTCCACACCAGCTGCCGCGATGCCATGAAGCGAAACCACACAAACACAGCAGCCAGCCCCAGCTCGCCCTGCGACTTGGCCTTGTCCAGCACCTGCGTGCCCAGATTGAACCTGCATGCAATAGAGGGGGGAAAGGGGGGGATGGGGGTTTGGGGGATGGGTGGGTTCATATGGGTTGGTGTGACACAGACACGGCTGCTCGCCCTGCCCCTTGGCCTTGTCCAGCACCTGCGTGCCCAGATTGAACCTGCATGCAATAGAGGGGGGAGAGGGGGGGATGGGGGTTTGGGGGATGGGTGGGTTCATATGGGTTGGTGTGACACAGACACGGCTGCTCGCCCTGCCCCTTGGCCTTGTCCAGCACCTGCGTGCCCAGATTGAACCTGCATGCAATAGAGGGGGGAGAGGGGGGGATGGGGGTTTGGGGGATGGGTGGGTTCATATGGGTTGGTTTGACACAAACACGGCTGCTCGCCCTGCCCCTTGGCCTTGTCCAGCACCTGCGTGCCCAGATTGAACCTGCATGCAATAGAGGGGGAGGAGGGGGGGATGGGGGTTTGGGGGATGGGTGGGTTCATATGGGTTGGTGTGACACAGACACGGCTGCTCGCCCTGCCCCTTGGCCTTGTCCAGCACCTGCGTGCCCAGATTGAACCTGCATGCAATAGAGGGGGGAGAGGGGGGGCTAGGGGTTTGGGGGATGGGTGGGTTCATATGGGTTGGTGTGACACAGACACGGCTGCTCGCCCTGCCCCTTGGCCTTGTCCAGCACCTGCGTGCCCAGATTGAACCTGCATGCAATAGAGGGGGAGGAGGGGGGGATGGGGGTTTGGGGGATGGGTGGGTTCATATGGGTTGGTGTGACACAGACACGGCTGCTCGCCCTGCCCCTTGGCCTTATCCAGCACCTGCGTGCCCAGATTGAACCTGCATGCAATTGAGGGGGAGGAGGGGGGGATGGGGGTTTGGGGGATGGGTGGGTTCATATGGGTTGGTTTGACACAGACACGGCTGCCAGCCCGAGCTCTCCCTGCGACTTGGCCTTGTCCGACACCTGCGTGCCCAGGTTGAACCTGAAGGAGAGGAGAGGAAGGGGGGGAGGGGAGGAAGGGAGGGGAATTAAGGTTTTTGGTTCAGAATAAAGGCTAAACTGAAACTTCGTGGTTCAGAGTCTAAGCTCAGCAACGTGATGCAAGGTATAATGTAAGATATTTAGGGTCACCTTTGAGAAATTTCAGAGGCAGATTGCTGAGGCTCACCTGTGCATGAGCGACTTCTCTGCCTCGGGCTCCAGGTCTGCAATCTCGTCCAACACTGCCCTTGCCACCCCGCGACCATCTCCAATGTCCTGATGCCACGTGTCACCCATCCAGTGGTGCCACGTGTCGCCCATCCATTTGATGCCACGTGGACGGAAGTTGCCAAGGGGATATCAGCAGAGAGGAAAAGAGGCGGAGGAGGAGGAGGAGGAGGAGGAGGAGGAGGAGAGAGAGAGAGAAAAAAAAGATTGCTGCATGAGCAGGAGACAAGAGTGCCTACCTATGCATGAGTGACTTCATGGCTCGTCCCTCCTGAACAGCTATCCAGTTCAGCAGCTCAACAGCCTCCTTGGGCATCCCCACTCCCTCCTTCATCCGCAACGTAACGCCTCTCTCAGTGTCAGCGTTTGGGCCGCTACCCTTCTGCCAACCAACCAACCAGGGCCCCCAAACAAACCCCGACAAACGCCCACGCTAAGTCGATTCTGCCGGCCTGCTCTCCCTCCAACCCTAGCATAAATTCACCAGCTATCTCTGACACACGCTAGAGGTTCAATGTGGTGGTTGAGGAAGAGAAAAAAGTCCCGGCCATAGACCTTGAACCAGCACTCCCCCGCCTAACCTTATAGCCTGTATCCTGCACCCTGCGCCTTGTCCCGTGTCTTTTGTCATGCTTTTGAGTCGACTCAAAAGCCTGTATCCTGCACCCTGCGCATTGTCCTGTGTCCCGTGTCGCCCTGTCCCGTCACCCCTGTACCAACCCCCTCACCTTGGGCTGCTGGTAATCAATGCGGTTGAGCGAGAGGAAGAAGTCCCAGCCATAGACCTTGAACCAGCACTCCCCCGCCCAACCCCTCAAGTCTGTCTGTTGTACCCTGTACCCTATCCCTAATGCTTGGCTCCTTCTTACCTTGGGCTGCTGGTAGTCAATCCTATTGAGCGAGAGGAAGAAGTCCCGTTCTTAGTCCTTGAACCAGCACTCCCTCGCCCAGCCCCTCAAGTCTGTCCGCTGTACCCTGTACCCATCCTACTGCTTGGCTCCTCACCTTGGGCTGCTGGTAATCAATGCGGTTGAGAGAAAGGAAGAAGTCGCGGCCATAGTCCTTGAACCAGCACTCTCCCATCCAGCCCTCAGCCCAGGACCATCTACCTGTAGCCCTAACACTCTATCCCCTCTCTCTCACCTTTGGTTGCTGGTAGTCAATGCGGTTGAGTGAGAGGAAGAAGTCCCGTCCATAGTCCTTGAACCAGCACTCCCCTGCTCTACCCTCAACCCTGTAGCCTGCACCTTGCGCCTTCTTCCCTGTCCCTTGTCGACCTGTCCCCTTTCTCTCACCTTGGGCTGCTGGTAGTCAATGCGGTTGAGAGAAAGGAAGAAGTCGCGCCCATAGTCTTTGAACCAGCACTCCCCGGCCCGCACCACAAAGGGCATCCCTGGCAGCTCCTGCTCCACTCCCGCCAGGTCCAGCTGGAGAGACTGTAGATGGGTGGGGGTTGGGAGCGTGATATACATGATGAAGGAATGAGTGAGGATGGAGCGGGGAGGCATGCAAAGGGCAAAGGGCATCCCTGGCAGCTCCTGCTCCACTCCCGCCAGGTCTAGCTGCAGGGACTGTTGGAGTGCACGTGGGAACGGGGGTTTGAGGAGGGAACAAGAGGAGGCAGTGAATGAACACCACAAAGGCCATCCCTGGCAGCTCCTGCTCCACGCCCGCCAGGTCCAGCTGCAGGGACTGTTGGTGGGTGGCAGTGTGAGATGTGAGACCAGCACCAACGGCATCCCTGGCAGCTCCTGCTCCATGCCCGCCAGGTCCAGCTGCAGGGACTGCAAGAGGTCACACCTTAGCCAACCCAAACCGATGCGTACCCTCGCAACTACAGCTATGTCTCGAATGGGTTCCTCAATGCCTTAATGCACTACCCCTTCAACCTGTGACCCGTGCACTACCCCTGGGGGTTAGGCACGCCCCCGTACCTGCAGCGACGGCTCCCCTGCAAAGCCCTTGTTGAACTCCGTCTCACACGCCCTCTCAAAGCGGGTAGATGAGCCGGCAATGCCGGGCGGCGGGGTCTGCACGGGCAGAACAGGGGAAGGAGATAAGAAGGGGGGGAGGCAAGAATGCAAGAACATAACGAGATGTGAAGTCGAGACTGCAAAAGCACTTGAGACTCTAAGCCCTGGGTCACACTATCCCTCAACTCTCAGGTTCCGCTGCGTCCTGTAAACACTAAACCCTGAACCCTGAGCCCCTTCCTGCAAGCTCCTGCCACGCCCCTTGACGGCCCCCAATGCGGCACTAGGGGGTCCGGTGTGCAGCACTGACTTGTTGAAGCCAACCTAAGGCCCGCACATGAAACCTTAACCCCTCATCACTTCAACTCCTAAACCCCTGCGTTACCCCTCCCCTCACCTGCTAGCTCCTTCCGCGCCCCTTGGACAGCTCCAAGTGCAGCACTACAGGTTCCAGTGCGTGAAATTTTCTCTCCAGAGCCAAGCCCTCAACCTTGCGCCCTGACCTGCGTGAATAATTCCTTAAACCCTAATCCATGCGTCGCGCTGTGATTTCCTCACCTGCCAGCTCCTGCTGCGTCCCTTGGACAGCCCCCAGTGCAGCACGAGGGGCTCTGGGTAATCCGACGCCAGCCGCACCTTGAGCTCGCCGTCACACTCCATCAGCAGCACCTGGTGGGGGGAGGGAGGGGATGAGAAGGGGGAGGGCGAAGTGAGAGGTTGTGAGGGGTGGCGTATGGGAGGTCGCTCCGACGCCAGCCGGTTAGTTCAACGCCAGCCGCACTTGAGCTCGCCGTCACACTCCATCAGCAGCACCTAATAAGAGGAGGGGGGGGACCAAGGTGTGTGACCCAGTCCCACCTCAGCAATAACCTGCGCTGCCAGCTCTCCAGCTGAAGCCACCCGTCCTGTGAGGTGCCGATACACAATGGCGAAGCACTCTATAACGCCCGTTTACAAGGCCCCACTCACCAGCAGCTTCTTGTCGTTCAGCTTGTAATACTTCTTCAGAAGAACCTCCACCAATTCCGACCCAGAAAAATATCCGCACTGCCAGTTCCCCAGCTAATCCGATTCGGCTCATCCTGTGAGGTGCCTATGAACAGTGGCGAAGCACTCTATAACGCCTCTTTACTACACCCCACTCACCAGCAGCTTCTTGTCGTTCAGCTTGTAATACTTCTTCAGAAGCACCTCCCCCAGTCCCGCCCCAGCAATGATCTGTGCTGCCAGCTCCAGCGGATCCGCAGCAGCAGCAGCCTCAGCCTCCGCTACAGCCGGCGCCGGCGCTAAAGCCGCCGCTGCCGCCCCATCTCCCGCATCCCCATGCCCTTTCCGCCCCTTCCTCCCAGCCGTGCTAATCAAATCGTCATACCCCCACTGCTTCCTGTCAATCTTCCACACGCTAGGCTGGGGACGCGAGGGCGGGGGGGGGGGAGCCGTCGCCTCGCTCCCTCCAGTAAGCCTCTTGCGGATGTCCAGAACAGACGTGCCCCGGCGAACCTCCTCTTCAAGCTCTCTCTTCGCCTCTATAAACTCCTGCCCCTGCTTCTGCTCGTCATAGTGCGGTTTCCCCGCCCGCTCCCACCGCACGTACGCCTGAATGGCGATCAGATCGTTTGGAATCGGCTCCAACTGCTGCTGCTGCTGCTGAGGGGGTGGGGGTGGGGGTGCCTGCTGCTGAGGCTTGTCGTCTGAGCGTCTGAAGATGCTGCCTCCACCCAGAAGCCTCTCCTCCAGGGCTTGGATCGTTCCTCCTGCTGCCACCTCCTTCTGAAGATCCAAACGCCCCAACTCATACTCCTCCTGGGGTTGTGCGGAGGCGGCGGCGGAGAGGGGGGAGGGTGAGGATGGGGAGAGGGAAGGGTTTCGGATGATTGGAGGGAGGGAAACTGGGTTAGTAGGCACACCCGGCCTAGCCATCTCATCTCGCTCACAATCGCATCTCCTCCTGCGAGTAGTGCTGCTCGCAATGCCTCTCCCACTTCACTCACTCATTGACTCGCCCGCCCTGCCTCTCTCGCTCACCTTCTCCTTCTCCTGCGAGTAGTGCTGCTTGCCGTTCCTCTCCCACCGCAGAAACGCCTGCACGCGAACCAGCTCCTCGGGAATCACAATGGTGGCTGGGTCCACGTGCGCCCGCGACTTGGGGATGTCCACGTGGAAGTTGGTGCCGTGGCACTTGAACCTGGGGGGGAGGGAGGAAAAGGTGGGGGGAAGGGGGGAAAAGGGGGGGGGGAAGGGGGGAAAGGGGGACACCGCAGGGCGGACAGGGGAGGGCGAGATATTGGCTTGTACAGACCGTAAGAATCTCAGCGGTGGTCGCGTACAGAGTGAACGCCACTGCAGAGTACTCCACTGCCGAGTACTCCACTGCCGAGTACTCCGCGTCCATCACGTCTGTTTTGATCAACCCCATATGCCCATAAGGCAACAGCAACAAGCACGCTTGACAGCACATGCAAGAGAACCGGCCAGGTATCTCACCAGGCGTTGGTGGCATCGTCCTTGAGCGTGAACTCCACTGCCGAGTACTCCGCGTCCACCACCTCTATCTTGAGCTTCGCCCGGCCCTACCGCTTTGATACAAGGCAGAGCTATCACCGATGACATGACAACAGGCAGATATATCATATTTGTCGCCAGGCACGGACTTATACCCAGCTGTCTCACCAGGCGTTGGTGGCGTCGTCCTTGAGGGAGAACTCCACTGCAGAGTACTCAGCGTCCACCACCTTTATTTTGATCAACCCCATATGCCCCTCTGGCAACCAAAAAAAAAAAAAAAAGTGTGCTTGATAGCACGTGCAAGGGAACCACCCAGGTGTCTCACCAGGCGTTGGTGGCGTCATCCTTGAGCGTGAACTCCACTGCCGAGTACTCAGCGTCCACCACCTCTATCTTGAGCTTCGCACGGTCTCCCACCTGGTGAGTGGGACGGAGGTGGAGGAGGACGAGGAGGGCCAGGGCAGGGAGAGTAGAGTCATAGGCGTGTGGAAATGACAAGTAGGAATGATTATCTACTTTGGAGACGTTCCAAGAAAGATCCAGTTTATGAATATTGTTGTGTCCATTTATGAACATGCCTTGACTACAGCGTTATTATAACGTGATTGAAGCGCACCTTAGTGAAGGGTGACTGTAGCGCACGGTTCTTGTACGGTCTGGTGCCATCAGGCTGAAGCCCGGGGAGGGTCCATCCGCTGCGAAAGGAAGGTCAGCAAGGGAGAGGAAGGAAGAGAGCTGGATTGAGTTCAGAACGCGATGCCAATGTGACTGTGGCAAGGACGTACGGCCTGGAGGTGTCAGGCTGAATCCCAATCCGTTAAGATTGTGAATTCAATCTTATCTGATCTGGTGCACGCGGCGCTGACTCAAGCCGCGTGAGGGCCGCGTTTTAGCGACTTGATCGTCAGAGGCCGATGACCTTCCCATCCGCGTACTGGCTTAAACCCCTGTCAATTGGCTTGGCACACTGACCTGGATCCACGTCAATTGCTCCGCGAACCACATCAACTGCGACGCTGACGTCAATTGCTCCGCGCACTGACCTGGATCCACGTCAACCCGTGCACCGACCTGGATCCGAATCAATTGCTCACCCCACTGACCTGGATCCACGTCAACCCGTGCACCGACCTGGATCCGAATCAATTGCTCACCCCACTGACCTGGATCCACGTCAACTGTTCAGCGCACTGACCTGGATCCACGTGAATTGCTCCGTGCTGACCTGGATCCACGTCAATTGCTCCGCTCACTGACCTGGTTCCGCGGCGGATGGCGCCCCAGTGCGCGATGAGCTGTGCGTTCACCAGCGGCCCGCCGTGCAGCTCGAGAATCACGTGCGCGCGCGACTGGTCCGTCGATCCCACCGCTAAGACCTGTGGCAACAGCGGGAGACGGAACGAGGTAGAACGTGCGATGAGGAAACCACAGAACGGATAAAAACATGGGGAAAGGAACGAACAAGTTGAACTCAACCCTGGACGTCGTGCAGGTTCAGAATCACGCACGCGCGACTGTCGCTCTCACCGCGGAGGTGAGAGATGGGCGAGACGACAACGGACGGGTCAAACGGAACGGGTGAAACGGAACAGTCGACGTTATAGGGTCGACAATCGCATGCGCGTTTGATTAATGTGCGGATCCAGCGCAATTTTGGCTACAGTAGAACTGTGACGACGTGCGACTCGAGAATGGTGTGCGCGATGGCCTGACTTGAACGGCGAGGGTTGAAAGAAGGCAGGGGCAATTGCGTGTGTTGCGAAGCCTCTAGACAACTATCCGAAGCGGATGTGGATATTACAGACGAGTTCAGTTTGATTTTAAGATATTCAGAAGTAAGATTCAGAATGAGACTCATAGCCTGCATGCTCGCAATGTCAACAGACCTCAAGCTTGGAGCCATCCTCGAGCGAATACGTCTGGCTGAGAGTCTGTACGATCACGAGCACATCGCAGGAAAATACAAAGAAATTCATGAAACAAGGTACATGAAAGAGCAGATGTAAGAATGTCCATGCAACCGCCATCAACGTCCGCATTGCGATGTGACGACCACAATTGCCATAGAAGGATCAAGTGGTGAGCAAACAGTTGAAGCAGGGAAGACAGAGATCCACAAAGTATATGTCAGGAATTTAGAAAGCAGGATTGCACATATCTTCAGCTATTACTTGATTCCACGAATCATATCACGAAGTTACGAGACATTCTGCCATTTTATAAAGTTCTGGGAGGATTCTGATCTGCCACGTTATCACCAAATGTGCGAAAAAGGCTCACCACTGGCTCGTCCGTCGCGACCGCTGCACGCAGCGAAAGCGGAGCTTGCGAACTCGCCCGGTTATTCGCACTCCCGGGCGAAACCCGAGCACGATTGCCAGAAATCAACGGAGTAACAGCTATCGAGGACGCGAAATTGAGACGACTAGACATAGACCGTCTGAGCGAAGGAGCGATTCCTCGAACCACTCCCCACTTGCTAGAGGAGGAAGTACGATCTTCGTTGCAACCGTCTAAGACCTGCGCAACAAGCGGAGCTTGCGCTCTAGCTGCTGCCATTGCCATCATTGTTTCTCAGGCTCAGAAGCAAGGAGACTGAGTGTCCTGAGCACAGGAAATTTGACAGACCGAAAGTGACTGGGACCTTCAAACCACGCTGCTTTCGATCAACAAATGATGCGAACGGTAATCAGACGACAGCTGAGGACGCCAGGAACCTGGGATGTTAGACGAGCAGAACTAGACTCCCTCGGCTGGCAAGTCTACTGGCAGCAGCTGCCCTCGCAGACCCACTGAAGGCAAGCAAGCAACCTCGAGAGAGAAATGTGAACAGACGCAGATCCCGATGCTCTCAAAGCTTACTTCTGCGATTCCTCGAACCACAGAGTGGCTGATTGTCACCTTGATCTCATCTCTTCAGTTGACTGACGAGAGCCTCGGTTCTTGCGACCGACACTGCTGCGGTTACCAGCTCGGATTCTATTTCGTTGATCCCAGACCGTTGCGGTCAGTTTCGGGAATGGGCCTTGGGAATGCATTTTCCCGCCAAAGCTGGTGGCGTTCAGACCCTCACGAGAATCGGTAAAGGTTACTACATTGTGGTGTTTGCGTTCGCCGAAATTACTGATAATTTCGGTAGGCTGGTTGGGTGAATCCTCCCATTCAATCCGTCACAGCAGTGTCCATATCCCACGTGGCAGTTTGTCGTGGAAAGTGACGGCGCGCTTGGGCTGATCTCTTGTGCCCAACTGATCTTTCCGAGGTCTTTGTGGCGGTAGATTGACGGTCTCAACCGCTGACACTGCATCTGCCGTAGATGTGCTTGCATACCATGCTTCGAACGTCCAATCACACCAACACTGAGCAACAAATATTTTCAGTCTAAAAGACGTGGCATTTTCACATTAGTTGAGACCAAGCTGGCTGAGCACTGGTGACTAGATTATTGCATCGATTGGTCAAATGACTGCTTTTTTTTGCCAGGTGGCAACATCTGGTTGCACGATCGCCAGCAACAGACTTGCAATATCTTACGCGGTTGTGAACTCTGCTTTGATAATATAGTTGACATTACATGCTTAATTGTCACAAAATACACAGCTACAATGTGTTTGGGTTGCGTTGCGAGTGCAATTGAGTGAGCGAGCGAGAATGGCATTATCGAAGCAAGATGTAAGGAAATTCCCTTTTCCTTACTTCGCGTCCCTGCTCAACGCGTACATCACTGTAGCACCTCAGTCAGCACCGTTACCACTCGCGACCATCGCATCATTCATCATCCCGCCCTTTTTCGCACATCGCATCCCGACCTCACGGCTCGGCTGGTAACCCGCGCTCCGGACCTACGCTTCGACACTTTCCCAACCTCAGTCCCAGGCTCGTCGCGCGACCATTACCGTTACCACTGTAGTTTCGCTATATAATGTTCGCTCATGCCTTCGCTCGTTTGTATTCTTGCTTCGATAGTGCAATTCTCGTTCGTTCACTCAATTGCACTCGTAACACTTGGCATTCAGAGCCTACGATCTCATCTCGGACCGCATCCACACCTTCGCTTCCCACTATCTCAATTTTTTGGGGGGGGGTAGACGTCTCTCAGCGACACAGCACCGCCGCTCGTAGTGCTCTCTCGAAAGCACGCACGGCCACGACCGAGGCTCTCGCTGAGCTTGCCCGACACCCCCGCCATGGCCGATTTCACTCTCGCCACGTTGACGCAGGAGCAACTCGATCGTCTCGTGCGTCAATTGGAGGATTCGGCGCTCGAAATCGCGACTCTCACGGCGGAACGTGACTCCGCCCGTCAACAGTCAACGGTGAACGTACCGACGACATCACACGCACCAACCAATGCATCTGCACATTCGGAGGAGCCCATCGTCATCTCATCCGGCACACCAACGCAACACAACAGCACGAGACAGCGCTCAGGCGCAGCCAGTGACGGCGCAGCCCAACCGATGCCCGGCATGGGAGGGAACAGGAGCGCATTAAGCCCACGGGAGCCCCGAGAAGCCCGTCGGCACGTGGAGTTTGCGGCGACAAGTGGCGAGAACGCCATGAAGGCCCCAATGCCACTCAAGCCGCAACGCCCGCCCTGCTTCGACCGAAGCCAACGCCGCGGCCCGACAGTTCAATCGTGGGTCTTCACGATGAATGTGTTTTTCGACGCCAACTACGTCGAGTCGGACGCCGCCAAGATCCGGTATGCGGTTTCATTACTCAGGGGCCCCGCCATCGACTGGTGGCGAGTCATTGTGACGTCGCCGCGCGCCTACGAGCCACCGTCGCACGAGGAAGGGCCCTCGGGTCCAGCTGTTACCTGGAGTTCGTTCTGCGAAACCGCCCAATACAGCACGTGGGATGCGTGGTGCGCAGGACTTCGGGCGCGCTTTGAGCCGATCGCGGCCTCGATTTCGGCGCGTCAGAAACTGCGCACTTGGCGCCAGCTCGGGTCAGTTCAAGACTACACCAGCGGGTTTCTCGCACTTTGCGAACAGGTCGGCTACATGCACGAGGCGGAGCGGGTGGACCGTTACGTCGGAGGGTTGAAGCCGGACATCTCGCACGAGATAATGCTACGCGGGCTCTCGAATTTCAACGAGATCCTCGCGCTTGCCGAGAAAATCGATATCCTACGCCGACCGAGACCGGGGTCCTATTACGGACATCGTCCTCGGGGACCGACCGAGCACGCCACTGTACATGCCGTCGCAGCGAATGCAGCTGCCGCGCCGTTTAGAGGGCGCTGCTTTGCTTGCAACCGGCCGGGCCATCGCAAGAGCGAATGTCCAGAGGAGCTGAGGCGTCGAGGAGCAGAGCAGGGGAGGGAGTCTCAGAGGCAGGGAAACGCCAGCAGTCAGTAGAAGTTGGGCCAACTACTGACGAGACTGCCTGATCGCCCAACCACACCGACCCTCACCGAGTCACAGTACCGATTCACGCCATCGATCGGGCTCGGATGAATAAGGAGGGTACAGCGACGGATTGCCCGGTACTGATCCACGGGAAAATACAGGGAGCAGCAGTGAAGATCTTCATTGACGGAGGAGCAAGCCACAGCTTAGTTAATACCGCAACCGCACGAAAATTACAGTTAATGCTTAACCGATGTTTACCTAAGATAGATGCACGCTTAGTCGACGGCACGCCCCTGGCCATACGGGAAAAGGTGGAGCGCGTAAAAGTCCGCTGCGGGGGGAACTTCGGGTTTACACAGGAAATGCTCGCGACGACACTGGATGGGCACGACATTTTATTGGGACGTGATTGGCTGCGACGGTACAACCCACGGATCGACTGTGTCAGTAGAGCTACACTGTGAGATCGCCGATCGATCCTAGGGGGGGTTACAGGCGCGTTTGCCTGGGGGGTTATGGGCGCACTGACCCGCTACTGAAACAAGCCCTTTTATCCCAATGGTCTATTGGTTGGGAATCTGACATGGTATCAGAGCGGTCTCGGGTTCGAATCCCGGTGTATGCACATGTTGGCCGTTGCCACTGTGCTTAGTCCTGGGCCTCCCAGTGTGGGGGGGGTGTCAGTAGAGCTACACTGTGAGATCCCCGATCGATCCTAGGGGGGGTTACAGGCACGTTTGCCTGGGGGGTTATGGGCACACTGACCCGCTACTGAAACAAGCCCTTTTATCCCAATGGTCTAGTGGTTGGGATTCTGACAGACTGGACGACGGGGAGCTGCACAGTGCGAAGTAGTGGTAACTGGGTCGTTCTACCTCGCTGGCAGCCACCCGAATCTTCGACGGTCCAGGTCAACGCCATCACGATGAAACGGGCTGTCGCTGCTGGAGCTGACGTGTACGCAGTGGATATCGCACTCGTAGAAAAAGATGAGCAGCCGAGTGATTTGGAGAAACTGCTGGCAGCTGTACCGACCGAACTACAGGCACTACTGAAACGGTTCTCGGGGATATTTCCGGATGATTTACCACAGGGACTGCCACCTCAGCGGGCGCACGACCATAGGATCGAGTTAGAACCGGGGGCACAGCCAACTGTACAGCGGCAATTTCGACTGACACAGCACGAGCTCGACGAGTTAAGAAAGCAGTTAGATTACCTGTTAGAGAAGCAGTTTATCCGACCGAGCTCGTCACCGTTCGCCGCACCGATACTGTTCACACCGAAAAAAGACGGAGGGTTCCGCATGTGCATCGACTACCGAGCGCTTAACAGGGTAACACTCAAATCGCGATACCCCATCCCCCGCGCCGACGAACTGATCGACCAACTGCAAACAGCACGAGTCTTTTCGAAAATAGATTTACGGGGAGGTTACCATCAGATTCGGGTCGAACCATCGGACTGCGCCAAAACAGCATTTAGGACTAGGTACGGGTCATTCGAGTATACAGTAATGCCATTCGGGCTGACGAACGCGCCTGCGACATTTCAGATGACCATGCACGAGG